AAAATATATAGTAGTCATGAATATCATCATTGATTCATTCACCACATCACCTTACTATCGACTCACAATCATCGCTAAAACATTAACCAATTTACAACATCGCCCACACGTCATTTATTCAATCATTATGCAATGCCACATAATATGGAATGCAACTACATAGACTCATGTATGTGGTACCAATTCATCATGTTGATGGACACTGGGCCATATACCTCCAAAGATCCCTACCAATAGGATCAATTCTACATAAGATCGGAGCATATCACAACACACCTCAATCCACACAATGTTATTGAAGCCAACACTGGATCAAAGTATTAACATCATCACTTGACGAAATTCCTAATATGTTATGAATGCATGATGCAAAACGTCATGATTAATCATCACCACTATTCGTCAAAGTTACATCATCATTCATGAAAATTTATCAAAACATCATAGTATTACATCATTTTTATGCGTCACCATTCTTCACATTGCATCACAAATCATCACGTTATAGTCATCAAAACAAAGCACACCAAGTACTCAAGGCATACGGACACCAAGACACAAGATAACACAATTTCCATGGGTAAAATCCTTCCCCTGTACAATTTCAAGTAGCACTGTTACTTCACCCTTTGCTCACTCCTCCTTTCGCTCGGAGAGGACCAAACGAACACACTTCGCCTAGAGAATCGGTTCCTCGCCCGACGATTTTCTGCGAATAATAATCTGTTGTGCGTGTTCTGCATACAAAAACCCTTTCCACCATTTTTCCGCAGACCCAATTTCCATCAAGCAATCCATCATATATTTTTACATGTTCATTACCTTTCATATGTATAATCTCAATCAATTACCAACACCCAATTCATCACCTTACGACATCAACATATTCATACAATTTCATCATGGTTTTAATAATCAACACATAACACACAAAAACCTACATCTACCTTAAACCCCATATCAAATATAATAACTCGGATCACCCCCCGTACCTCAAACTCTTAGCAATGGACTTCTGCCTCTGTGTTATACAAATGACTTCTTGGTTCTCTGTGTCCTAACTCTCCTTTCTCAGTTCTTTCCAACTTTTCACGATCGCACAAGAGTGAACTTCTCTATTCTTTCTTTTTCTTTTTGTCTCTCTTACCCCTTGGACCCCTATTATGATTTTCTCATCTTACCCTTACTTAGTCCACCCAACATTACCATCTTACCCTCAAAATCTCTACACATTTGTTTATAATTTTAAATATAAAAAATATTCTAATTATTATTATCATGAAATTCCACATAATCAATTATGCACTAATTTATTATTATAACTCTAAATAATGTCCAACAAGATTATTTAAATTATAATAAGAGTCTCATTAGTCATTAGCCCAACACTACCCCACAACACACCCTTAATCCCACAAAGCATCATATAGTTCATCAAAATTTACCATTACCTACTAATAATTAATAAATAATTAAATACAAAACTTGGGGTGTTACACTTCCCAAAATAGTTCGATTAAACCTTCTGCCAAACCATTTTGTTGTGGAGTACCTGCAGTAATTTTGTGCCTTGCAATACTTGAGGCATCATAAAAGTTGTCGAACGCCTCATTGAAAAATTCAAGACCATTGTCGGTTCTCAACATCTTGACCTTTCTTCCAGTATGATTTTCGACCAGAGTCTTCCAACGTTTGAAATTCTCAAAAATTTCATTATTAGTCTTTTGGATGAATACCCATAACTTTTTGGAATAATCATCAACTATGGATAGAAAATACCTTGCTCCTGAATGTGATGGAAACCTTGCAGGCCCCTAAAGATCATCATGGATGTAATCAAGGGATCTATGTGTTATTTTTTTGTCTTTGTTGAACTTCACTCTGCAAGATTTTCCAAGTACACAGGGTTCACAAAATTTCATCTTTTCAACTTTGTCTCCTCCAAACAGATTTTGTTTTCCCAATCTGACCAGACCTCTTTCATTGGCATGGCCCAATCTCATGTGCAAATTTCTGTCTTCGACAAAGGTTTCGTGGAAGCAAAATTTGTCGAACCAGTTACAACTTCAGCCTCAAGGGTATATAAGCCTTGTTTCTTCACGCCTCTAAAGACTTCATTCGACCCCTTCATGACTTTTAGGATACTTTTCTCTCCTTGAAAAATATATCCCTTCTTGTCGAATTCACTAAGAGGAATCAATTTTCTCTTTAAATCAGGTACTTACCTGACTTCAGTCAATAACCTTATTGACTCATCATGGAACTTGAATCTCACAGACCCAATACTAGTAATTTTGCAAGCTTTGTTGTTTCTCAGCAGCACTGATCCACCATCTTGATCACATAGCTCCTCGAACAATTCTCTATTTGAAGTCATGTGCCATGTACAACCTGAATCCATTATCAACTCCTTTCTTGAGTCGCTGCTTGAAACCACAAGGACATAAGATGAGTCGGTCATCTTGAACAATGGTTGTGTTTCCATTATCCTTACCTCCATGATCTTTCAGGCATTCAGGGAACATATTTCTTGTGTGACCCTCCTTGTTATAGTGTATCATCAAATACCATATGTCTCGCCACTATGAGACTTCTGCTGACTTTTACCTTTCTTCTTGTCGAACTTACCATCCTTTCGCAAGAATTTTCCCCTAACGGTCAAACTTTCACCAACCGTCGAAGGTTTATGCTCCTTTCGTTCATTTAAGAGTACTAGGCTGATTGAACTTCTGCAAAGCTCAGGGACTCCCTTCCATAGTAACAGGGCAAAGCGCACAATAATAACATGGCTTGATCTTCATCACCAATCTTCACATCAATATTTTCAAGATCAAGAATCAGCTTGTTGAACATATCCAACTATTCAGCCAACACCTTGTCTTTACTCATCCTAAATGAATACAAAGCTTGCTTCAGGTAGAGTCGATTCACCAGAGATTTGGTCACCAACAAACTTTCAACCATAATCTCGATGCCATAGTTTCCTTTGATACCTGTCTAAGAACCTTATCACCAAGGCTCAATAATATTGCGATGTGGGCTTTCTCTACCATGACCATCTTTTCTTTCTCCGTTAACGTATCGTCCACGGCTGCTTCTCCCTTTAAGGCTTCCAAACAACTCTGTTGAACCAGTAGGACTTTCATCTTCAAGAGCTACAGACTGAAGTCGTTCGCTCTGGTGAACTTTTCAATCTCATAGTTTGTTGACGACATCTCCTTCATGCTCACCGCACCAATTTGTTGTGAAAAACAATGTCTTGAAACAAAGTATAAACAGTTTCTTTATCATCAAGAAACACACAAGTGTTAGGGTTAACGGAAAAACAAGAAGAACAACAACAAGGATTGGTTATAACTGTTATTCTTTATTTTTTGTTTAAACAAATTACAAGTACTCAAGAATAACAAATAACCTTCTCACCCTAATTAGGATTTGCCACACTTAAGATGAGAGACTAGTATGCTACTTATAATAAACCTAACATACTAAACTAATGTGATTTTTAACAATTACCCATTACAAACTAACTAGGGTACAAGATAATTTAAACAATTGAATTCTTAACACAAGATCCAATTTCGACAACTACATATTAAAACACATTTCGACTATAACGTATAGGTCTTCGACAACAATATGTAAGCAGACTTCAACGATATGTTAAACTAGAGTTCGATCTAATATTTCACAAATAAGTTATAGGTTATACACAATTCTTTATATTCAACTTATGAACTTTTTTTTTGGTTTATGTCACCACAAAATCCTTCCCTCATTATTCAGCAGTTCCTTATTTGCATAATCCATCTGACCACCATTTTCTCAAAAGCACTAGAAGTTGCATTTGTCGCAGATGACACGCAACAAAAATTTGAGGGAAGGATTTTCTTGGATCTTAAAATTTAGTTTAATATCATTTTTTATCTTATACTGAAGGTTGATTGATTTTCATTAAACCAAATATATTTCACTTGAAACTGACTCTAGAACTTCACACTTTTAATGAAAATCAAATTAAAAAAAAACTATTATGGACCATCATCAAGACTATATTTCACTTGAAGTACAACAACATCAAAAATTTCTCATTATCAAAAAAACTGAAAATCAACAATGCCAACTAATACACGTGTACTAATCATCACCTTGAATATTCCTGAATATATCAACCCATCCTTGAGTCATTGACTTGAATTTTCCACAAATAAAAAACAAATATTCCACCATTCTCTCTATCTCAAATTTTATAGTTGAACTTGTGATCACAATTGTATTGATAATATATACTATTCACAAGACAGGATTCCAGGAAACTCATGGTGTGAATATGAACACACTTAAGTACCAAATCCTTTTTAATCATAGTTATTCTAAGACAACACTTCCACACCAGAAATCTTCTTTTTAATCATAGTTACACCAACAAATTTTAAATAAGATTAATTAACATTTACCGTTAGCATACAAAATTTTACAATATCAATTAATCAACATCATTTATTTGTATTATTTTATAAAAAAATTAAAACAAAAATAATATTTTTCTTAATATTTAATATCTAACGTCCATGATTAATTAAATATGTTTTATAATATTAACGCGTTTCAATTAAATTCATTTTAAAATGTGATAAATATATATAATTTTATATTTTAATGTTTTAGATGAAAATGTAACATCTCTCATAACTCGTTGTTGCTCACAACTTCATCAACTCCGCTGACATATCAATCTAAGACAATTTCATAGAAATAGTCAAACTTTAACAACACGTGTGGACTGATAAATAAAATATTACGAACATAAAATAGAATAATAAGAATAATAAAAACGAAGTACTATAATATAATAGGGTGGAACCGTGTGAGACTTTTTAGTCATCTTCGTCTATATAAGAACAATCTTTAAGAACCTTTCATACACAATCAACACAATAATTTGCAATCTCTTGCTTTCTCCATACGACAGGATATATCTATATACAATTTATATAGAGATGGGTTTTGTGAAGAAGTGTAAAAGAGTATGGAGAAGCAACAATAGATTGTATCCAGAAGAAACTTGCGGTGGAAGCTATGGCAAATTATCATCAGACAAGAGCCACAAACAAAAGGATAATATTAAGCAGAAGAAACCAGTAAATGGTTGTGTCTGTGTCTATGTTGGACCAGAGAGACAGAGATTCATAATCAAAATCAAAATATTCAATCACCCTTTGTTCAAAACGCTTTTGGAAGGGGTTGAGAATGAATATGGATATAGAAACGACGGTCCTCTATGGCTTCCTTGTGATGTTGAGTTTTTCTGTGAAACACTTGTGGAAATTGAGAGTGCTGACGAGGATGATACCGGTTTCGTGGGTTGCAGCTTTCCAATGGGTCACAGAAACATAGCCTGGTTTCCAATTCTAGCCTGAGTTGTGTTGCCAATTACAAGCTTTTGGTATAATTAAGTTGTAAAATTAACACTTGTGGATGTATATATATCTATATCTATGATTTTTTGAAAATGACTCCTTTTTGATTGCAGTGTATTTTACAATGATCGAAACTTTTTTTTTTTTTTATCGTATTTGCATAGTGTTAATTTCTTTACTTTACCAGTTGTTATAACTTAAGTGTAGATATGGATTACTAAATAGATAAGAAAATTTTCTAAGATAAAATGTTGCTAACTATTTATTAGAGTTAACGCTTTGAGAGATAAATATTAAAATTATGGTTGATTATGAATTGTTAACTAACTATTATTACAAAAGAGAGTTTATTTTGGTTGTGAATGAAGTTTTAGATATGACTATGAGAGAATGATGGAGTTGTTTGAAGATGATGGTAGATTATCTTAGATTTTTTTGTTAGAACAACATATAAAAAACAGAGATTGAAGGTAGTAATAATGGTGAAAAAGAAATTGGAGAAGAAGATGAAATTGAGAGAGAATGAGAATTAGGGTAGAGAGTATTATTGGATGATTTAAAATTGACATTAATTGAAATTGGAAATTACAAAATGTATTTATACACTTGAGAGAATAATATAAAAAAAAAACAAAAACCAACTAAAGTGACCATGCTGTTAAGAATTTAACAGCTTTCAACATTTTTGTTCAAAAGAATGAGATTTGGCGTGAATCGGAAATATTTTAGGTTTTTGCTGAAAAGAATGTGATTTGGTGTTAAGTGAAATTAATGGATGGAGACTTGCGTTTTTAGTAATTCAATGTCAGTAATCGTCAATGGAAGTACCACTAATGATTTTAAAGTGGAGAGGGGTTTGAGGAAGGAGGATGCTCTTTTCCGTTTTCTATTTGTGTTAATTATGGAGGGTCTCACAAAGTTGATAAGAAGAGCAGTAGAGGTAGGAGAGTTACTACAAGAAAATAATCCCCCAGCAACATGATTTTGCGTCGTGATAAATATGTGGCAAAAAAGTGGTGGTGCGACATGTTTATCACGTTGCTATAAGTTTTAAATAATAAAATAATAAAAGTTAGGTTATCACATGGTGAAAAGGTTGAAAATTTTCAAAGAAAATGTTGTGGCGGGTAAAACACCTAGCAACATGCATTTTAAAAAGAAGGTGCCAAGTTTTCAAATCGGGGGAGGTTGGAATTTTCAAAAAATAAATTTGTGGCGTGGAAAACACGTCGCAACATACATTTCAAAAATTAAAAAATTGTGAGGCAAATTTTGTCTGTTGGAGTTGATTGTGATTAATCCTCTTTTCAGAAACTCTAGGTTAAAGAAGTTAGTCTTCATTCCATAAGAATCTTGAAACAGTTAGTCTTTAAGCTTTTAAACAAACGTTTTAAGCTTTTACCACAGGCTGCGCTCACAAACGTTTGGTTTTATAAAGCCTAACCAATAACCGAGGAAAATTTAATATCGAGTTAATCTCAAACTTTATCCAAACTTTTAATATTGGGTTAATCTCAAACTTTATCTAAACTTTTAATATCGGACTAAGCTTTAACCTATCCTTGGTTATACCACAGGCTTACTAAGAACCTACTGAGATTTTATCACTGGCTATCCTCGAACCTAAACAAGGTGTTGATCACATAATCCTCAAACTAAAAGCATTTATGGGTTTAGCCTCTAACCCAAACAAATCATAAATTGATAATATTCAACCAAGATGTATACAAAAGATTCCCTTGGTTAATTTACAATTCTACCCTTCCAGAATTAAAACTTATCCTCACACCAAAAAGAACTTGCTCGCAGAAGCATTTCAACTAAAATATTAGTGAGAGAAAGTACAAGGAAAGTTTAGAGAGAGAGAGAGAGAGAGAGAGAGAGAGAGAGAGAGAGAGAGAGAGAGTAGGATATGTCAAAACACAATTCTTGATGGTTTAAAATGAGAGAAGGGACCTTTATATATTGGCTAGAGATTGACTCAAAATGAAATTGATTTTAATGCCTTATAAAATAATCTAATTGTTTATAACCTAATGCTAACTGATTAAAACCTCTAAAGGTAATTGATTACCAATTTAAAACAGGAAAGAAAAGATATCAAGCCATTGTACACCATTAAGATGTTGTCGAAATCGATTAGAACTTAATTTTGAAATGATCTAATCGAATATATAGGTGTCCCAATCGATTTAGAAAAGGCAAAACTTTGTCCACAACAATTTTGATTGTCTCCAATTCATTTGGCACAACTTCAAGAAATTTTACAAAATATTTTCTTAAGAAAAATCATTTTTAAAAGATGTGTGTGTGTGTGCGCGCGCATGTACGTGTGCGCACGCATGCGAGTGTGTGTGTGTGTGTGTGTTTTAGCCATGCAGTTTTAATAGAATTCCCTTTTTATTTACATAATATTTACTCAGACTAATATAGGGTTGTCTTTCACTTTAAGACTTTGTTAGATGCTTTCTTTTGTAGACATTTTCTGGAGTGTTCTTGAGATGATGCTTGATCTTATATTCCATTTTGGTTTCCATCATCACATAGTTAATCATATCAAACCCTAATACTTAACTTTGCATCTTTAACCGCTTAATTACTTATATTTGACTTCTCAATATTTTTATAAAAAGAGTCCATATGTGTGATACTTTATATATTGACAAGGATGAGATGTCATTTATGGGATGAAAATTTTATCCATGATTTTCAACTGTTTTAAGACTATTTAATGTGAAGGAAAAAGTGAGTAAATAGATACAAGTTTGACTGAATTGCTTGAATTATTGAAAGACATGCTTCTAGAAGACTTATCAAGGAAAATTTCCTCCGGGTGAGTAAAAAATGGATGTTGGCAGAACATAACAAATGTTTCATAAATTGGTTTAGTGAAAGGGTTTCTAAAGATTGAAGTAAATATAAGACAATTAAATGGATGCCATGTATGCCTAAGTTTAATGTAATAACTTGGAGTGCACAAAACATTAGTAAATTTTAATTTTATTCAATATCTAAGGATGATTGTAGTATCGTGAAAAAATATTGGGATTATGTATTATGTTAATTTCATGTACATCTCTAGTTCCAAAGATATGAATCTTGTAAAGGCATCTAGATCGTAGTTTAGGGTTACTTAAGAGATTTGGTAGATTGATTACCTTATACTTAAAATGCATTTATATAAGTTCTAGTGGATTGACAATAAAGTTGGTGTACAAACTGAAAAATTAGGATTCACACTGACACAGATTGACCTTCATAAGACATCTTATATGAATGAACCATTCAACTTAGCATTCTAAACAAAATAAGTTTTTTATGTCAGCGATCCTTCTAACAATAAATGGTCAATCTTTCTATAAGGAAAACACATACCTGATAGTGGAAAAAAAAGTCAAGATTTAAATCTTGATATTTCTAAAACCCCTTTTTTTCCAACACATTTGCGTATCTCATATGAAAAAAATGATTCATATGATGTGCATATTCTTCGTTATGATCATTAAAAAGAGAATTGGAAAAATAAAAAAATAAGTATTTTATATGACTTTGTATTATATATTTATAATACTAAAATATCCACTTTACTTTTGAATATTTTTATTGACATATTTTTTTAACATGTAAAGATTTGGATGGATACCATATGTTGCACAGTTTTAGAAGTAAAATGTTTGATTTATTATCTCTAAGAAAGTTATAAAAAGTTTTATTTGTAACATTCATTTATTGATATTGAATTATTAATGTTGTTGTTATAAAAACTTTAGGACGTCCATTTAAGAATTTGCGCTTTGGTTTTCGCATTTGTATGTATATGTTTTTATTTTGTTTTAAAAAGAGGATGTGTGTGCCTTTTTAGCTATGGTATAAATAATTTGTAGTTTTGCTACATAAGATCCATTTATTTTGTTTAGGTTATGTTCAAAAAAAAATTAATTGTTTTATTTAAGTTTATTTACATTTTATTTCAAAAAAAATACAGGATAAAATTAAAATTTTGTAAAATTATAAAAATAAAACAAGGATTTTACCCTCAGTTGTTTCTCCAAACTGAGGTAAAAAGACTACATCAATTCCCTTGTGAATGGTACCAGAGGGAAAAATGGAGCCCACTTTTTAGTTTGTAAAATACAAAAATATTGTTGATGGAGATCAAATCCATAACCAGATCCACTTTTCCTCTCAATTTCCAGTTAATCCAAGGGAAAAAGTGGCACACTTTCTATGATATGCTTCTTTACCTCACCCTTAAACTGAGGTAAAATTACTTATTCGTAGAAGTGCCCACAATTACATTGATGAATGAGGCGAAATTCCCCAATTTCCTTCCATAATGATTTAAAGGTGGTGAAATAGATGTTGACATTAGACGAACCTTGAGTGTAATTTAGAAGATTTTTCTTCAATTGGAAAACACGGGGACCATTCTTCTCTTGAGAATGATCATCAAGCTGCATCCAGATCTCAGTAGCATTTTCAACATATATCACACTAGCTGATATTTCTTTCAAACGAAATTAGGCAACCATGAAAAAACCATGTTGTTGTTACGCATCCAAGAGCGAAATAGAGGATCAATCTCAACAGGTTTTGGGATTGAACAATAAATAAAACCTAACTTGGTCCTGCCATTGAGCGCCAATATCATGGCACGGCACCACGATTTGAAATTGCCGTAATGAGTGGTTATGAGAGAAAAATAAGAAGCAAAGAAGAGAAGAAAAAGCGAGAAAACACATATCGTAAGGATCATCATGATTCACTATTAATGAAAGAATTAAGAAGAGAAGAAAAGGCGAGAAAACAAAAATGCGGAAGAGAAAATCAGAAAATGTCTTATGATACCATATTAGAGTTAATGCTTTGAGAAAAAATTGAAATCACGATTGATTATGAATTGTTAACTAGCTATTACAAAAGCAAGTTTCATCCAATATATAGAAAATGATGTGAACCTTAAAAATTGAAAATTTATAGAAAACGGTTGAACTGTCAAA